CAGAATGGAATTAAAGTGGCTTTATTATTATTATTAAGTATGATAACAAAAGTTTCATTTATCAGTTACAAATTTTTGAAGTGAGTTTCACTTTCTTTAGGCGCATGAGGGTAAATTTTTACGAAAACGTCACGAAGATGTGCAGCGTTTTTGTCGAAGAAAAGGGAGAGAGGATTGAGACCGATGGAGAGAGAGTGAGAAGGGTGTACCTTTATAGATTTTTTTTTAATTTAAACTTTGGAAAGAGAATTTTTGAAATATTAGGTTTTATATTTTATGCAAAATAATTTTTTGAAATCTCAAATGACGAAATTGTAAATTAAAAAAATATATATATATCTTTTGTATTAATTTTCGATACTTTTATTATTTTAATCACAATTCAATTAATTAAGTTCATAACATCTTCCTTTTTCCCTCCCTCTAAGTCTCGGAAATCTAAAGTTTTAGATTTGTAGAAATATGAAGACATAAAAATTAGTTTTCCAAAAAAGTTTCACTTCTGATGGATTTATTTAAACATGGGAATTGGTTTTTGAAATATGTATAAACATCGAATCTTAATCAATATCATCTATCTTATAGTTCAATTAGACAAATATGTATTATCAACATCCTGACAGTTGAAACTTGTTATTAGTTTAGATATAGTGACATACGAGTATCTTGTTGGGGACAATATTTGTCACTCTTTGTTTATATTAACCATCTAAGAAGAGAAACGTGTTAAACAATCTCAGTCTGTGTTTAAATATTATATAACATTGGAATTGTATACATGTGAAATATAACTTCCTCAACGGATTTTAACGCGTACACGACAGTTGTATTTAAAAAAAACCAGTACGTTACAATCTTGTATTTCTGTTTGATAATCATTAGTTCGTCTTATGGGCTTCTGTGCCTGGTTTCCTCACGATGTTTTCCTTCGTACGAGCGAGTATTAAAATATGCGCAATTACATAAAAACATGATAAATAGATATTAATTATAGATAAACAAAATAGAGAATCAGAGCAGCATTGGCCTAGTGGCTTCAGCATGCGACTCTCATCCTTGAGGTTTTACGTTCGATCCCCGGTTCAGTATCAATTGTGTTCCTATGTGCCCAATTACCGCGCGTAACGTGAAACATCATGAGGAATCCGACTTGCCTTAGAGGCCTAAATCCAATAAAGTTGACAGGCACAGAAGACTGATTATATACTAGACTATAAACCTTTCAGATCTGGGTAGATAAACCTGCTAAAAAGTGTAATAAAACATAAAATTATTTTTGTCACTTCAACCTCCTTAATTCAATGAAATCCTATTTATATCCAGACTAGCCGTTTCGCGCCCGCTTTGCTGGACGAATTAAAATAAATTTTATGTTTCATTATTTTATTTTTTTTCATATTTTTATTATTCTTCTTTTTAAATTCCCGCTAAGAAAATTGAAATATTTCGAAAATCGAGTTTTTAACAGATGTTGACGTTTAGAGGTTCTAGGAAGCCTCCCCGAATGTTTCCGCGGTGAAGTCCGTATGGATAAATTTTCATAAAAGTAAAACAGCAATAAAAAAATGAAGGAACGTTGGAATTTAAATTTAAAATAAATAAATAGCCATAAACCATCTAGGAAAAATTTCGCATCGAATGGTGGTAGTTTCATGTCGATACGATCAGTGGTTTAGGCGTGAAGGAGCCTCAAACGAAGACCATTTTTCTTTTATATATATAGATAATGATTGAAACTTTAAATAATTAATAAAAGCCGGGGTGACAAATTATTCGGTCCATCAGAGCTATTCTGCGAATGACAACGATTCATTACGTAACTTCCAGTACCATTTTGTTAAATCATTGAAATGTACATTACAATACAATTCCTTAGTAAAATCACATTTATTATATCAGTAGAAATAAATGGGGTAGCGCTTCGACTAGTAAACTTAATCAACTTCAGGTTCGACAAAAAAAAATAAAAAAAAAAATACAACTAACAAACTTTATATTGACACTAAATTAATGAACATTAATTACACACCAAGGAGTTAAGATACAAAAAATTAAATAACCAAATACACATAAGGATTAAATTTAAATTCAATCCACACATTGCCGACGTAACACTTACAATTACCTGAAATCAGAACCGAATACGGTCACAAAAATATTACTTATTTCGGAGAGACTCTTTACAGCAGCTTGCCTCCTGAGATACGGGAATACGGCAGTGGACCCGTTCCGAATTCGCCTGCGAAGTTTTTTGGTAGATGGACTTTGATGCAGAGTCAGTATACGACGGTGGCGTAATATATACGACGGAGAGAGAAGTGACAGGAACGAGATGCAGGAACAGCACCTAAACAATGGTGCAGGAAGTTACACGTAGCATTACGCGTGGAGAAAGAGAGGCAGAAATAAAAGGTCTGGTAACTGACACTGAACTTTCTCCGAGGGAGTCAGTACGGAATAAGTTAAAGGAATTAAATATTATGACACTATCTGGTCAATATATCCTCGAAGCCTTGTTGTATGAACAAAAATTTAAACGATTTTAAAACAAATGGTGACTTTTATTAGTATAATACGCGAAACAAAACTAATTTGAGTGTACGACCAACCAGGCTCAAGAAGATAAACTACTCCTTATATGGAAATTGTATTAGTTTTTACAACTATCTCCCAAGCGAAATTAGAGACTTATCACTAAATAAATTCAAAGCCCTCGTTAAAAGTAAATTAATCAATAAAGCTTTTTATAAATTCGACGAATATTTAAATGATCCTAATCCTTCAAAACTCAAAACTTAGCGATTGAAAAGAGTGGCGGAAAGTTTCTTGCCAGTTCTTCTTGCCCACTCTACGCGCTTGACTTGCGAACTGTTAGTAAATGTAAATTTACAATTAATCACGTTCACTGCGCCATCATTTTTAAAGAACTTTCAGCTGGTGCGTTGGAGACCTAAAAGATCTCGTAACAAGCCTATCCTCTGGTGCGTTTGAGACCTAATCAGTCTCCTAAAATTACACTTTTGAAAATAATTTATATCTTCCAAAAAAACAATGACATATATTTTGAATTTTTTGTGGGTGAAAGATAGCTAATTGCTTTATATTTTGCTAGGTTCGCACGCAGTTTCGACATTTGAATAAACTACAAATACCAAAAAAAAATTAGATATCGATTGTATCTCGTACCGCACCCAAAGATAGTTCAATATGTGTAGTAAGTAGTGATGGGAATAAAATAATATCTCAGTTATCGATTCTAAAAGTTTTAATAATTATGCAAAGTGTTTTTCATTAAAACATGGAAAGCACATTGATTGCTTGCACATTACGCGCAAATGGTAACAATTCGTTTAGTTTTTTTAGAAGCGTCAGTGCTGTTTAACTGCGTCTTCTCCAACGAAAAAGGTTTATCGTTAAATATTTCATAGTCAGAATCACTGTCATTATTAGTCATTTTATTTATTTGAACATTTTCCAAAACAAATATTTTACTGGACGATGCAGCAGTATAATCCGGCGTTGATTTTTTGTTAGAAACCTCACCAATAAAATAGATTTTTACACTTTTTTCTTTTAAACTTAATCACTCATTGTTTATCAAAAATAATCAACACGCTGGTATATACGCGAGTGTTATTTCCAAAACCTGCCCGGAACTTCCCGATGTCGATTCTAGGACAACACTAAAAATCCCATCCTCCATCTCTTGCGTCTACGAGGCGTACGATTTCACGAGTACCGACATATCTCCTAACGCAAGGAATTAAAACAATTACAGTACTGTGCGTTAGGGACCTAATCCATCTCTAATTTATTTTTTAAAGTCCTTGAATTCAGCTTTAAGTAGGAAGCAAATATGTATATTTGTCCTGCTCATCCTTAAAGAACTTTACAAGTTACATCCTCCCGCAAGGAGTGAAAAAACACGATTATGTTCAACGCACAATACAAAAGTCCTGCAAGAGATCTGATAGATCTCGTAATGCAACGAACGTGTTAACTTCTTTTTTTGATATTCATAAGTGTACTTGTTTACCTATATGAATAAAGATATTTTGAGTTTGAGTTTGAACGACAGGAATATTGTCGTCTAACGACAGGAAGGACAGAGGAGACAGAGCCGGACAAAGCAACAAATTAGAAGTTTCGTGACATTTCGTGTACTTGTTCCATGACTGAAACCGAATCGACAGAGTCAAACGGCAGTGATAGGAACGAGTGTCAACAATTATTTTAATATTGATTATCATTATATTTCAAACGTTTAAAGTTATGATAAATTACTTTTAATAATAATAATATAATGACTATGGACTCATTATAATTATCGACCATTGAACAGTCGTTAATTTATAGATCTATTAATATTGGCAAATCAAATAAACCACTTAACGGTCATGAACTAATTGGAATTTGCTGCTTTTAAATTATAATGGCGCTGGTATCAGCTGCCATTGCTCCGACATATATTTTACTTTTTTGTTTTATAATAAAAACAAAAAAGTAAAATATATTTTTTCATGTAGGTAAGTGAAATCGATTTCGTTCGTTCGTTTTTAAACAAGAACAACTTATTTTCTATTAATAAAGATTAAAAACGGGACATATAACTCACAGGTCCTCGTGTTTTCAAAATTACGAAAAGATAATTTTGCACATATTATAAGTATTGTTGTAGGAATTTTCTATTTTGAAAACAACTTTGAGATCCTTTTATAAAGAGTTTGTTCTTTGAAATCCGTACAGCTACGTTGCTAACAAATTAAATCTAAGTAAATTAAAAGTAATCCTTCCTGATAAGTAGATTGAAGAGTATGGAAATTACTGATGGCAGCGTAAGATTACTAAGGGTTCAGCTGATTAGAATTATTAATTCAATCAACATAATATCTTAAGACTATTTTTTTAGGTCTTAGCTAATCTAGTATTGTGCGTGTACGAGAAATTCTGTTTTTTAACGAGTATTACATGTAACACTTATATACACGCATAAACCTTACCTGATATTTGCGGCTTCGTTCACGTAGTTCCCCCATCCCAATAAAGGCGGTGTGGTAAGTGCCAGAGAGTACATCCATATGAAGATCACAGAGAAAGCGGCACTCTTTGAACTGAGGTGCCTTGTACGAAGAGGCCGCGTCACCATCAAGTAACGTTCAAAGGAAATAACTGTGAGAGTCGTGATTGATGTAATTCCTGGAACAAATTTTATGTTACACAACAGCCCTGTTATTCTGTAACTCACTTTTCGAACTCACACAGCGGTTTTCGTATCGGCGGTCGCTCTCGAATCAGTCGTGAAGCAGTCATTTTATGATTTGGCATTCTGAAAAGGTGCTATAGATTATTGTTTATCAGAATGCCAAATCATAAAATGACTGCTTCACGACTGATTTGAGAGCGACCGCCGATGCGAAAACCGCTGTGTGAGTTCGAAAAGTGAGTTACAGAATCGCAAGGCTGGTGTGAGACATGAGCCATGGTCTGTCCTTTACATAAGACATATTATAATACACAAGTGATACACTGTGAATTTCATAAAGTCAGACCCCGATATGACGGATGTCCGACACAGCCGGAGTATCCAAACAGGATTAGACAGCTTTACGTGCACATCCGGGCTATCATTGAAAATGTGAGGGAAATATTGCGTTAAATACTGGGGATTAGTTTGCTTAGTTTTGGCATTAAAGTTGCCGATTGTTGGTATGTAAAAATAAAAGTACCTTCACATAATCCGAGGACAGTAACAAAATTAATATATATTCTTACATTTTCTCATAAAAGCCTCGCATTAATACACTTCTATTACCCCAATAGCATGAATACATAATTCTCTTGGCACACTAATTGCATATTTCTAATTAACGCGACCATATTAACTTTTCAAGCATGTTGCAGAGGAAAATTAAGCGCGACTCGTGTAATAGGTGACGTATGCTGGAAATATCTAAGAGGAAGCAGCGTATAAGAACCAGATAAGTATACAAGAGATTCTAAATTCAAAATAGATTTACAAGTTGCAAGAATTTAAAAAGTTACCCTTAAAAACTAAATCGGTGTAATTGCACTTTTAACTAAGGTAATATTCTCTCTTTCTAGCAAACTATGTTTACGCTGGCATAAAAAGAGACAAATAAGTTAATTCAAAAAGATCTAAATTCATTACTCTTTTAACACATTGTTAACAAGATTTAAAAAATTTATGTAATGTCAATATTACCTAATAGAGCCATAAAGAATCCATAGAGCACACACATGGTCTTCCCGAAAACCCAGCGGTGGAAAAGCGCAGAAATTAAAGTGAGAGGATTCCCCAGCACTGACACAGAGAAATCCGAACACACCAAGTTGAAGAGAATGATGTTCAATGGTGTCCATAACTGAAAATATACAACAAAAGTTAATTTAATCGTAAAAAAATTGTAGACATCTGTTTGAACAAAGTGGGCTAGAGCTGGGCGTGGGCTGGGGTTCTTTAATTTTATCTTAACCAACAAGCACTAAAAAGTATGCAGCCAAGGCTAGGGTGACCCTGATGTCATACTGTCGAACTAGATCTACCGAAAAGGTTTATTCTAATAAATATTGCGAAGAAATTATCGTGATTCATGTGCACTTTTTACTTTTTGTTTTTCATGTATCCTTTATTAGTTTAGTTTGTTTTTTGTTCCTGTTTATTTTTTTTTTTCATAATAACTATATTATGTAATATGTATTTTTCCACTTCTTGCCTACCTTATCTAATTTTATAATAAAAAAAATATTTTCTCATAGTGGTTGTCTGGATGAGATCGCTCGAAAGCGATAAGGCCGCCAGTTGCCCTCCTGTTCATTTAATTATGTTCAATTTTTATATTGTAATGCAACGATGTGTTAATAAATAAATAAATAAGAAAGCATTCAAAGACTCAAAAACCGATAGCTTGTTTCAGGCGGAGAAAGCAACACAGTATTTCGCAAGTGTGAAGCACTTGTGAAAAACTTTTGTTGCTGCCAGTATTACATTCCTATAATAAATATAGGTATGTAAAGAAATAATTATATTTCTTTTAGATTATTCATTATATGTCATGTGTTAAAACTGACGGTTTATTTAATTGTAATATTGTGAGTTAGTCTGTGGAAAACGACGCGAGTTTTTTCATTTGAATTTTTTCAAGAATTTTATTGTTAGAACATTTTCGGAAACCTTAATTAGGAAATAGATAAAAATAATTGTTTTGAAAAACTTTCATATAATAACAAACACTAAATATTGTTCAGGTAATTTCTTAATTGTTCATTACTTTACTTGTTTTCATGTATATTTCGTTATTAGTTAGATTTTTGTTTAAAAGTAAGGTTTGAATAAATCTATAATTTTTTCATTTATCATATATATCTACCAAGTATTGACTGTTGATATCTGCTGCTGTTAACTATCTACATTAACCTAAATTATAAATAATAATTAGTCTCTCATCTGCATATCTAATTTTTGGCAATTAAGTTAATCGGTATTGTCTCATTTAGGGACGAGGGATTATGATTCAATTTTGTGAGCCACTGCGACGAGTGAAATTATTTGCTCGCACCAAATTAGGGAATCTTATCTGGGCCAAACTAGTGCTTATAAGTAAGGTACCTACTTCATGGCAGTAGAGTACATCAAAGGCAATTGTTAAATATAGTAATCAGCCCAGCAACTTTGTGATTGTTGAAAATTCTTAATTAGATGTTTGAGAGTTCTCACTGTTTGTGTATTTCAAACTTTTTGTTTTGTGTACAAGATTCATGAAATTTTAAAGTGAATTTGCAATTGTAGATTATGCAGTTATTTTTCGTTTATTTATTTTAAGGAAAAGTATCAGATCGAGTAGAACCTCGGTATTACAATAAATAAAAATTTATTTAGATAAACGACTCCATGGTAAATAATAGTTATAAACTCTATGTTTTAAATTATAATAATCCAGTGGATCTACAACCTTATATGCCGTGATAGCTTGGCCTGACATTGCTTCCGATTCTTTGATCATTTTTATTTCATAGACCTTCTATGCCTAACACTCGCCGTTGACTCTTTACTTGGATTCCACAGGATATTTTCCTTCTTCGTACGAGTGACTGTCCAATGCGCAGCTATACCGAAAATCCAGGCAGGCCAACACTGCTTTATCATATATTATAGATAAAAAGTAGCCTATTAATTTAGATACTCTTAAATTAATCACTTTTTGATTTTAATGATCCTTTAGGTATCTGTGTGCCCTTTTTTGGCCAAGGTCTCCAAAGCCCGCCATTCCTCTCTGCCATGTACCACCATCTATTTCTTTAATTTGGTCTATCCAGCTTCTAAGTTGTCTTCCTTTTTCGTTTGCTGTATCTTGGGCACCAGTTTGGTACTTTTTTGCTCCAATTTTCTGTTCCTCTTACAATAAGCCCCGCCCATTTCCACTTTAGTTTGATTTGATGAGAATACACTCTGCCTTAGCGAGCTCCAGAAATGACACAAAAAACTACATACTCGAATACGGCTTTAAATAAGCAACAATTAAATATAATATTACAAAAATAGCCAAATCTTAAGAGATTGTTTCTAACTAAACGACAGTTTAGTGAAGTCAATAAGGATTGTAGACAAATTGGCTGAAATATAAACATTTCATTGAAAATAAAAATCAAATAATTAAAAGCCTTATTGTTTAGCAAGAGGTTACGGTTACGAACATTTTTGATTAATAGAAGTTTTTTTGAAGGTGCATAATTCAGATAATCTGATAATGAGGATGGAGAAGGAATCTTCTGTGAGAAATTATGTCAAGTTATGTCAAGTTGTTTCGTCCATCACTGACCAGTACAGTACAGTAAATTTATTATTTTAAAAAATTATAATAATCTCTATTTGTATGATGATTATTGCAAATTATCAAAATTATAAAGACAAAAAATCTGTTGCGCTACCTTTTTTTAGGTTTGGGCCTCAGAATCTGTTTCATGATTTGTCAATCTAATAGGCAAGTCGGTGATCAGCCTCCTGTTCCTGACACACCCCGTCGACTTTTTAGGTCTAAGGCAAGTCGGTTTCCTAACGATGTTTTCTTTCACCGTTCGAGCGAATGTTAAATGCGCGTATAGACAGAAAGTCCATTGGTGCACACCCGGGAATCGGACCTACGACCTCAGGGATGACAGTCGCCCGCTGCAGCTACTAGGTCAACACTGCTTCTAAGATATTTCATAAAATAATATAATTACACTTTGATAATAAACACGAAGGGCAGCAATTGCCCAAAAAGCAATTACTTATGTAATTAAATATATACATTTGGTTCTCACAAATAAATTGAGTCTAAATTAATTAGTCCCAATTAATTACTTGACTTTTGGAATACCGTCTATCAGAGAGTTGAATAGGAAGTTGATTGATTTAAATTCGTAATACGAGAACGTTAACATTTATACTAGCCAACAAATGTCAAATTAAGTTTAATGATAATATTGAAGTTCGTAATATGCTTTGATACCTAGGTAACACTGAAAATGTTTTGAAAATGAAAAACGGCTTAATGTAGAAAGTTACTACTTTTATTGTTTTTCGAAGTAATCTCCGTTCCTCTCTACACATCGTCGCATTCGATGGAACCACTGAGAAAAGCAGTGGGCCCATTCTTCCTTAGGAGTCTCTTCTATGGCATTTTCGTACGCTTTCACCGCATCTTCAGGGCTCGTAAAGCGAATACCTTGAATTTTATCTTTAGTGTTGGGTTCGTAGGAATATATCCAGCTTTCATCACCTGTGACGATATCAAATACAGCATTTGAGTCTCCGCCGTTGAACTTATCTAACATTTGGCGACACCAGTCCATGCGAAGGCGTTTCTGGTCGTCGTTTAATGTATGGGGAATCCATCTGGTACAAAGCTTCCTGATTCCTAAATGTTCGTGTAATATTTTTTGAACTTGACTCATCCATACATCCATAGGCTTGCCCGTATCTGCTGATAGGTCACTCTCTTATCTTCCTCTATCATGCGTCGCACAGCACTGATATTATCTTCAGTAGTCGCTGTTAAAGGACGTCCCTCACGCGGATCATCATCGAGATTGCTACGTCCACGCTTAAACTCGTTAAACCAATTGTAAATAGTGGCTCGAGATGCGACTTCATTAAGAAATGCTAATCGCAGCCTATCATAGCTTTATTGTTGAGTAAGCCCACAACGAAAGTGATAATAAATCATTGACCGAACATTTTCTCGCGTTAGGTTCATTTTCACGTGTAACAAGAGTTTTAGATTTGCCACCAATTCACAAAAACAAATGACAAATGAATGCAATATACTACATTAGGTAACCAAGGAGTTCTAAAATTTAAATTCAAAAAGTTTTCATATTTCTAACTGGACAATTCTAAACATTTTCAGTGGTACCCACGTAATTAATAATATATATTTTTCTAATAATATTAACAATAAACTTAAAAAATGCTGCATCTTAGCCACTATCTATCACTACCATGCGATATCTCTCCCTAATTAAAGAAAATAGTCAAACAATATTGTGGAGAAGTTCCAATCAGTTTTGTACCATCTATAAATGCATTGATAAAGGCCGACACACTAAAAATGGTTGTCTATGGGCTGCGATGACTGCCCTTTTTGAGCGTCCCGTAGGCTCATTTGCCCCCTATTTAAAATATAATTGGTACATGTGTTATATTTTTTTGCCTTGACTTCAATAAAGTTTAAAAAATACTTGAATGACGTACGTATAAACCTCACCGCATTTTATCATCATATGACCCTTACGAGAGATTTGAACATTATCATGATCTGATGAACATTTTTACCACTAAACATCTATTATAGTTCCTTGAAGTACACGTTTATGTCGACTATTGTTTTAAATTGTTTTTTTTTTAAGTTTTTGGCTTGTTGTTTTGTTTTAAGCCGTGTCAAATTACGTATTTACAATTGACGTTTTGTTGTTGATTTAATTCTGTTTATTTTCAAAAGATTTCATGATTGGTTTGAACTGTAAACGACCTGTTTTGTAAGTGGTAATCTAAAAGTCATCAGTAGTCATCAGTATGTGGAACATGGTGCAATGGTTGCAGCTCCTTAAAAACGTTGTGTAAAACAAAACATGGCGATTAAAAAGAGTGGCGGAGAGTTTATTGCCAGTTCTTCTCTTCCGTTCTACGCCCTTGATTTGAGAACTGGCAGTAAATGTACAATTAGAAACATTAATATGTATTTCTTTAATGACGAATCACAAGTGTACATTGTGTTACCTACGTGAATAAATGATTTTTGAATTGAAGTTTAATTATGCTAAAACCACTACTATGCTTTGTAGTACTTTTCTTAGGTTTATATTTAGGAATAAAATAAGCAAT